GTAGGACCAGGATGAAGGCCATGACGCGCCCTTACAGATGGTCGATACACTTAAATGATTCCTTCATCACTGTGTCCTGAGGGTTTTCCATTCAAGACAGGCAGCTCCACCCAGAAACCCGACGCTTCCACAACACCCTCTCCCTGATTTTTAACCACTTGAGGTTGGAAAGTTGATTGAAGCTCTGTCCGGACCCAAAAAATTGGCCTTGGCTGCTGAAGTCTTCCCTGCTCCTCTCCTTCCACATAGAACCAGGTTTAAAGCTGGTTTGATGTGTTCAGACCCAGACCTTATGGATGAAACAACTACCTCAGACACTGAAATAAAACAAAACTGAATTAGAAAAGCCCACTGTGGACAGCCCTTATCCAAGAAGCAATACACTATGTATGAAACTTGACTGAGGTCAGTCTGTTGTCTGCTGTCTAAGACCAGACTTGGTCAAAATCTTGTAGCCACGAAAGACACAAACTACTCTTTGATCTGGCAAAATTGGGTAAATTCATCATATCTTAGTCTGTGTGTCTACCTACAAATCATTAGAGCAGTTCTGTCACAGTTCATTTTACTCACTCGAAGGTGGTAGTCTCATGCTGTCCCGGGACTTCAGGTGCTCTACATCTTTAGCTGTAAGAGCACAGAAACCAAATTTTAGGTACACCACAGCCAAAATCAATTGCAAATGCATGTTGTGGAGACATTGTTTGTATTTCCCAGATCTGTTGTAGCAGAAGGATTTAGATATAAATTACTCTAAATCATTGGAATAATTCAGCTTTTTTATGACACAAGGTCTGCTACAAATTTTGAATTTATTTTTAGAAAAGGTTCTTGAGTTCATAATAGAATAGTGTACTCACAAACATTGCATTGATCTCAAACACAAAACTATTCAATTGAACTCAAATCCCTGCATATAAAGTAAAAAAAGATATTTGGGTTTCTTTTCAGAAGCGTGCAATCTTAATCTTGAAAAGTTATGTGTTATCAATGGTGATAAACTTGCAATTTTAATCTTGTTTTATAGTTGTATCACAAGATAATTTAACTTCCTTGTTGTTTACCATTAGTCTGAACATCAGACCAATCAGTAACCAATAAGTTCCTCAGTATCAACATTAGACACGACCTTTGTGACAAACTGTATTGCATCGGGCAATCATTTTTTTTTTTATAATTCACCAAAAGTTTAAACATATTTTTCAAACAATTCACTTCCATGTCATTATTTACCTGGGGTGGCTGCTGCTGTCAAGGGTTGTAGGTCTTCCATCATGGATTTCTGAAAACACATAAAAGATATTTTTTCAGTAACTAGAAATAGTTCTTATCCAGCTATATTCACCAGGTCTGAATAGTCAACATACACCTGAGAATTAGAAACAAGCAGCTTTTACTGCTCAGTCTGACAATATTGTCTTTCTAACAATTAAACACATTTGAATTTCTGAATTCGAACGTATATTTCAGTTCTGTCTACTCACCAGGTAAGATCCTATTTACTGCCACACACTGTGAAATCACGATCTGCACTGATGCCAAACTCACCTGGGACAACCTTTCCTAGTGGGCAGGACACTGCACAGTTACCAAATTAATGTTTAACATTCACTAAGGTTTATTAACCAGGAATATGTGTCAGGCTCCCTAGCTTGACACATATACTGCTGATTACTTTACATTCTCACTTAACATACAATAATCCTGTAACTCCATCATGCAAACATATATCATAGAACACAGACCTATGATGTGCTGGAGGTGTTAAATCCTTTAATGACAAGAACCAAAATCCATTAATCCATATCCAGTGTGTCCAATAGAACATTTTCACATGAAACAGGCCTAGTAGGGTAAAATCATGTTTTACCAATGATAACAAAATGTACTGTTCTATTCAGGTCAAACAGAGTCAGGTTACTGCTGTGCATATTGGCTCACTGGAAAGGCTCTCCTACACTTATCTACTGAGTGATGGGGAATAACTTTAAATTTCACTTTTACCAAAATTATGGCACAAAACTTAAATACAAATTGCTCAAAGCACTGACCTAAACATGCTCCAAAGATTAACAATAAACACTGCAACCAATATTCATAAATCACGGTCATAAATGGACAAATGGGATAAACAGATTCAATAGCATATGCATTTGTGTCAGTGTTTAGAGAACCCAGGTATTGTGTGAACCCTTATCAGACAGTCACTTGCCCTGGTGCCCAAAATCATTTCTCCTATGTGGCTAGCACCCTAACTTTGGATCAGCTTCAACATCCAGTGTCTCAGAGGAATGGAGAGCTAATCAGCATCACTTCCTTCAGCTGTTAACCTTCAAACACAGCCAGGAAAGTGTGAGGCCTGCAGCTGATTTGACTAATCCGTTTCCTCGTTTTCATTCAGCTGTTCAAAATTGACGAGTCACGATGGACCGCAAGGCAGAGAGGAAGGGAGAAGCTGAGCCCACAAGACAAGCACACGGCTCGGGCAGGTAAACCTGAGCTCCAGGAGGGTCTGTTTGAGGAGCCCACCTGCTGGTGATGCAGTGTGGGAAGAGAGAGGACACCAGTCAGCGGTGGATTAAACAGTAAGAGCAGTCGTTATCTGGTCGTGTGCCAAACTTCATTCATGTATCTCAAGGTTGTGTTTCCTGTTTATGTGCAAAGGCACCTGAGTTGTAAAATATAAAAAAAATAGATGTTTTTACATATCAAGAGGGTCTTAAGGTAAATTCGTCTCGAATAATTACGAACAAAGCAAAGCTTAACGTTGGCAAAAATGCAATCCATTATAAAGGTACACACCGCAACTGCTCCTCCCTTACCTATGGGAGACTAATAATGACTGTAGTAGTTCCAGTTAAAGATGCACCTATCTGTTGGCATATTGCAATGTGTAGTCTACTGATTGATTCTATTCTGTGACTGTATTTACAAGCTGTTGAACTGGTGTGTTTGGGAGTGTCCTAACTCTCCTAAAAAACCTGTTTCAGGAACGAAAGTGTTATCAAACCTAATCTAATCTACCAGATTCAAATCCCACTACAGATATGTCAGCCTGGTTGTGCAAACTGGATTGTGTTAATCCATGTGGATTCAGAAATCCCCACAGTGTATGATCCATTACATAGAGATGTTCAGTATTCTGTACACCTCTAACCTGATTCAGCTCTGGTATTTTCTGACTTAAGCTTCAGGTTTTTACTTGAATGCATTGTAAATGAAATCTTCAACTGTATGTGTCCCTGTAATACAGACTGACTCACTTTAATTGTAGTGAAGTTGGGAACACGGCGTCTGCCTCCATGACCTCAGCAAAACTCTGAACAGGAAATGTCTGTTTGTCTGTTAAGAGAACAGAGTGAGAGATTAAATATTGAATATAAAATATTAATATAGAGTAAATATTGCAGTACAGATGGTCTTTCTAAATGTCTGCTTGGGTTAAGAGTTGTGGTGATCCCTGGTTGTGAGCGTCACAACAGAAGGCCAGCCTGTTTTGCATGTTATTTGCTTTTTTTTAAAAATAAAACAGACAATGCAAATTTCATTTCTGACGCATGAATCCAGTTGTGTTGTACAGTGTTTCTCATAGAGACTTAGACCAGCATCCAGTTTTTACCTACGCTAACACAAACAGAACAGAGAGCGATATGTTAGTAACGACTGCAGTTCTCAGTAACTGGAGGTAAGAAGTGTTTGTCTTTTTAATAGATTAGCTGTTAGGTTTCTTTTACGGCTTAGGGGAAGCTTTTGTGTGTCATTTTATAAATTATAGACAGACTTGTAGTGTCTTTGGCAACCTTGGGATCTCTACTAGAATTTAAAATGAATTTATGGACAAGCTGCATGAAATTGTAAAGTTCAGACCCCGTAGTGGGTCTTGCAGGATTAGAGGTTTATGTTGAGCTAGGCTCCACTTAGTTTGAGTATTACTAGAAAAGGGGGAAAATATGATTTTTATATACCTTTCCCAAAACCTGTTATTTGTCGGCAGTCTGGTCTTTCCACCAGATTTGGAAACTGGCTGCAGGGATTTGCTCCCGCTTTGACGTTGGGTGATGAGGTCTGACTCAGTCCAGTTCCAAAGGTGTTGGATGGTGTTGAGGTCAGGGCTCTGTGCAGGCCAGTCGTGTGTGTGTGTGTGTGTGTGTGTGTGTGTGTAAGTAATATCTGTAGCGTTCAGATTTAAGTACACTGAAACTAATTGACCTAGATCAATTCAGGAAAAAAATAGACTGGGGTGTCCACATACTTTTGGGCATATTTTATGATAAAATGCCACTATTTGGTTTCCAGGTCTGTATGAATATTTAATACTGACGGTTCGCAGTGTGTGTGATAATGTCTTTTCATCTATAGATCTGAGTTTTGAGGCTGTGTATGGAGTGTCATCAGTTCTTCATGATCCCTCCATACTCCGTGTGTCTGATGCCTCTTGTCCCTGCTGACTGTTGAAGGCTCAACATCTGTTCATCTCTACGGAGCTTCACTCTCCCTTTCTTTCACTACGCCACCCCTCCATCCGTCTGTCCAGCAGTCATGAATCCCTACGGAAACACATACTTGAAGTCTCGTCCACATGAGGATGTCACTGCTCCTGGATCTTTACCACCTCCATATTCACCTCCTGACCCTCATGATAATTTCCATAATCCATCTCTGTCAGCCACCTTACCTGTTCCTCCAGTCATTCAGACAGGACATAGCTACCTGAGAGTTTTAAACCACAACTCCCCTTCCTATCAGGCCTCATCAGGCCCAGATGGAGGTCAGCACCTGGTCCCATCTCCAGACTGCTCTGCCTCTTCACTCCCAGTGTCAGATCCAGCCTTCAGCCTGAAATCGAGCCCAGCTCCAGCGTCGTCTCCAGCTCAATCTCCTACACTGAACCCTTACCCTGCCCTCACCACACCGCCCTCTTGCCAGGTGTCCATCATCATCCCGTCCCCAGACCTCCGCCCGTCTCCTCTCCAGTCTCAGTGCTCTGAGGAAACCTGCCCGGACCTGGAGTGCTCCATCTGCTTCAGCCAGTTCAACAACATCTTCCGCTGTCCCAAGGTGCTTCAGTGCAAACACACGTTCTGCCTGGAGTGCCTGGCACGCATCAACGTCAAGTCAGCTCAGCCCAACGCTATCCAGTGCCCGCTGTGCCGCAGTTTCACACCTCTGCCCAACCTCGGGCTACCCAGACTTGCCACAGACTCAGACGTGCTGTCTTACCTGCCGGCCGCCATGCAGAGAGTCTACAGCATCCGCTTCATCCGCAACAAAGGGAAGCTGCAGGTTAAAAGGTCAGGCTGTTGAAATAATCAGAAATCAGAATCGAGTTTTCTGCTTCGCTTATAAAAGAAATTATGATTTAACAGTTTTTATGCACGCCTTTCAAACGCTTCATATTAATGAGTTAAATCCTCTAAAGCTTAGAGTTATATGTTCTACATCATTCTGAAATTAAATTTAAAATGCAACCTACGTTTGTCGTGGCAGTTTTTTATTTTTTTTTTATTTTTTATTTTTTTTTTAAATGATCAACCTTCGAAATCTATATATAGAAATAATAATTTTCACCCAAATAAATGTGAAAGTCAACGTTTGACCAAGTTTTTAAACGCAAAAAGACAAAATAGGCAGATGTGGGGAATAACAAAGTAAAAATACTTTGTTACTGTACTTAAAAATATATATAATTTTTTTTTTTTTTATAGGTATCTGTACTTGACTTGAGTATTTATTTTTCATTACTTTTACTCCCTGAATTTTTACAAATATCTGTACTTTCTTCTCTTTATATTTTCAAAATAGGCTAGCTTCAGAGAAATTTTAAATTCGCTCATGATGTCAGCATTATGAAACAGTTCATATTTTAGTTGGTTATTTAGTGCTTGAGGACAAGAATAACCTGATGTGAAGGAGATCTGAACCTCTAATGTTAAGGAGGTGGAACACCTCTGGATAAGTGCTGTTACAGAATCTAACCTTTTAAGAAAAGGGCTGAAATAAAAAAATAAATAAATGAAATTCCGAAGAACATAATTGATGTCACGTGTCAACAAGGCTGTAACTTGTAGTGTATATTTCTATTTCATTAAGTAACAAAATCATAATGGCACTGAAGGTAAAATAAGAAAGTCACATATGTCAACCAGAAGTTTCTTTAAAAACCATAAACACAACACACCACATAGGATCATGTAGGAATAATAAAGTGAGTTATCTACAGTCACCTAAATGTAATAAATGTTGTCCATCATCGAAGGAAATATAATTTGCCACCTAATGGGGAACTTTTAGTGCAACTTAATTGACCTTATAAGAAATTAAAAATTCCCTTTCCAGTTTTTATCTGTCTATCTTTATCTTCTTATCTTTAGATGATTGGGTATTTGTCTGCAGCGAGGCTACTCTCACTGAAAAACAAAACACTACACTTGTGCACAAATGACACTAAAAGCTTCTACTTACAAGTAAAAATCATTCGGTCTTGAAAGAATCCAACATTTGCAGACATGTATAACGCTTTTTTTGCGGGATATATACCTCCTGTACAGTGGCTCTCGTACAGTCCAACCTGGTGCAGCTTCAGCCTCAACTGGACCTGTTGAATGTTGGCAATCGAAGTAACAGCGCCATCTTGTGCCCATAGGAAGACACACCAGCCCGGCCTGTGCAGCGAGCTATGTCATCTTTTCCCAGGCGGTGGAGGCATAACACCGTTTGTTTAATGAACATTAAAATGATTGACCTGGTACTGGGATTAGCAAGAATATAATACTTTTATACCACTGCATTTTTAAGTTTTCACGGTAAACTCTTCTATAACAATGAGGGTACAAATCATATACTTAAGTAATGATTTACTACATGAATTAATGCGGGATGTATCATGAGGTAACAAAGTCCCTTTGACTGAATGTGATTAGTTCACAGCTGTTAATTCACAGTAACTTCATACATTAATGGATTTCAGTTACATAAGAGTTTCTGTATGTATTTAGCCTATGTATTTCACTATGTTATGTAAATGTTTCTGATGGGGACTGAAATAAAGTTTTATGTAAATGAAATGTAGGTGATTCCTTCCCATATCAATTAAGTAACTGTGAATTAACGACACTTAACTGATTTTCAAGTGTGACTTAAACACATAAGGGCATACTGTTAGTTACCTAATTTGTTACTCATGATACATCGAGGCTGAGAGTCACAGCTCTATTGAGCCATGTATCCCCATAAACTTAAGTAGCAATGACTTTATGAACTTCTTTTATAATAAAATTATTACTATTAGAGAGAAAATTAGTCACCAAATACCCTTAATAACTATTGCAGGCTCTCCAAGATCAGAAATTTTAAACTAACGCACCTCAGATATATATTTAGAATGTTTTTCTGCTATCAGTCTTCATCATTAACTTCAATAATTTCTTCATCGAAGCCATCAACCTGTTCTGTTAGATCCAATCCCAACTAGGGCTGCTTAAAGGGGACCACTTCGCTCATTTGCATTAAGCTTTGTATCATTAGAAGCCCAGTCATATTTTTGACATGTCGTGCATCATTCCCTCAACCTTCACCGCTGGAGAGAGAGAAATACGGATTTCAGTGGTTGCACTTCCTGCTTCCAATTGATGTAAAAAATCGTCATTGCGTTCATTGGAAGCAGGAAGTCTCATATCTTTCTGTAGAGGAGTGAGACTACAAAACACTACTTCCTTCATTTTTTTTCACTCACGCTACAGAACTATCACAGATCAGTGGGTGGGATTCACTTTGGCAGAACTAAAAAATATAACCGCAATCTTGTTTGGAAGCTTAACGGAGGTGCTGTCGATCCAGATGTACGTTACGACTATGGTAATCCATAACTCAATATGGAAGAAATTTATCTTCTTTCTT